TTAAAGTAGAATCTGGAGATATACAAATATCAATATTTATTGTCTTAGCAGTACATTTAAAAATTAAGCAGGGCCACAAATACCTATGAGTAGTCTCACTGCTAATTAGTCACCCTGTAGATAAACAATGTTCCCATCATCATTTTAAACTTCCTGTGTGTAGAATACTGAATTGGAAATAAAACAACTGGAAAATAGTCCCTGTTTTCAAAGAGTTTTTTATTTTATTTATTTATTTTTTTATGTAGGTAGAGATGGAAAACAGATCCATATTGAGAATAATTCAGAACATATACAACCCACATATAAATAGACTAGAGGCCCCGTGCATGGATTTGTGCTCCGGTTGGGGTCCCTCTGCCTGGACTGTACCTTCTTGCAATCCAGGACCCCTTAGGGGATGTAGCAATGCACAAAGCAGCAGGAGGCCAGAGAGGAGCCTGAGCAGTGCTGGGCACCACCTGGCTCGGTGCTCGGCACTCCTGGGATTCACGGCGTTCCTGGTTCATTTGTCACTCCTTAGTGCTCTTTAGCGCTGTGCTTGCCAGCCATGAGCCTGGCTTCTGGATGAGCTTAGCTCCCACTGTGGGAGCGCATTGACCACCAGAAGTCAGCTCCTATTGGTCAGTGCACATCACAGCGACCAGTCATTCTGGTCGTTTGGTCATAACAATTGCTTAGGCAAATATATGTGTATATATATATATAGACTAGAGGCCCAGTGCACAAATTTGTGCAACTTGAAAGGAACTGTGAGCCACAAGGTGGTGAGCCTAGGGATGCGTCTTGGTCCATCCTTTGAGACCCTGCCTGGCTCCTCCTGCCACGGTCCCTGGTCCCCTGTCTGCCAGCAGCCTTGCTTCCATTGCCGTCACTTCCTGCGCTGATGGCACCAGCCCTGCTCACACCTGCTGATAGCACAGAGTGAGTGGGGCCAGTGCTGGCAGCAGGTGTGAGCAGGCACACTGGCATCAGCTGCAAGCTCTGGGCAGGACCATGGCATGTAGAAACAAAGAATTCTCAGTAACCACCAGAGGCTTGCCCTGATGACAGTGATTGGCGCTCTGCCTTGGCCTGGTGCCCCCCCTCACCTGCTCCACCATCCCGCTGTGGCTGATGCCTGCCATGTTTCATGCATGCCCTCTGGTGGTCAGCGCACATCATAGCGACTGGTTGTTTGGCTGATTTGCATATTAGGGTTTTATATATATATACTAGAGGCCTGGTGTATGAAATTCGTGCATGGGGGTGAGGGTGGGAGTGGTTGTCCCTCAGCTCAGCCTGCGCCCTCTCCAATCTGGGACCCCTCGAGGGATGTCCGACTGCCTGTAAACCTCAGGTTGAAAGATTCATTTCACAAATCCAACTCACCCTATGCACTCAACTGGGGATCAAGCCAGCAATCTGGGCTTGTGCCCAGACTGGGAATAGAACCATGACCTCCTGGTTTATAGGTCAACCCTCAACCACTTAGCCATGCCAGCGGGTTATTGATTACTTATTTTGTGCTAGGCATTAAGTGCTCAGATATATTGCATCATAATCTATACAAGCTTTCACTAATGTCTTTGGGTATTTAATTTCCTAGGGTTTTACCAAGTGTTAGCTAACTTTTAATAATGCTTCTGTAATAATTGTAATATAGAATAAGAATTCATATCAATATATTAAGATATTTAAATTGCTGGAATATGCTATATAATGTGCACATCCAGCACTGATACTTGGAGTTTCCTAAATGCCTCATTTGCAAAGGTTCCATTTCATAGCATCATTGAAATTCTCAAACTGGTAATTTGAGATTTTTGAGGTGAGCTAGAGGTCTGGTGCATGAAATTCATGCAAAGGGATCAGCCCTCACAGCCCCAGCTTCATCCGGAAGGTCGTTTGGCTGTGGGGTCTCATTATGATATTATCCTTTTATTATTATAGATAGTCTGCTTTGCAACTTTCCCCAGTTTCGACAGCAGTTGTTGAATTTGTAAGTGGTCGTTTCTGTCTTGTATTCAGCCATTTCTATCAATATTTGCCCTGCTCTGGCTGCAAACATTTTACTTCTTACCTTTCAAGAAGCCATAGACCCTTGGCTTGGCCCACTTTTCATAAGAATGAAAAGCAAAACTCACTCAAATTTCACCCACCATCATGGGGGTGTGATGGGTATGAAAGGGAAACCACAATTCTTCCACTGATGGAGTTATATTATTTTATTTCTTCTTTTAGAGTTTTTTTCCTTTTTTGATTAGAGAGATGCTTAGATGCTTCAAGGTCCCCATTCCATGAGTTGATTTTATTCAAGTGTTGAATTCCAGTTCCTCTCATTACAAGTACTGTAATAAAATCTTTTAAAAGACATATTATCTTGCCTAATTCTTAAAGCAAGTGGGTATTTAGGAGTCATGAATGCTCAAGAGCTGTGCTATATAAAACATCAGCTACTAGACACACGTGGCTATTGAGCATGTGAAATGTGGCTAGTTCATATTGAGATGTGTTATAAGTATAAAATACATACTATATTTTGAATATCTAGTATGAAAAAATATAAAATGCATCATTAATAAATTTTCATATTGATTGCATATTGAAATGGTAATAGTTTGGCGATATTGGGCTAAATAAAATATATTTTAAAAATAAAGTGCTACCTATTTCATTTTTACCTTTTTAATGTGGCGATTAGAATATTTAAATTAGGTAAATCACATATCTTTATAGGACAGCACTGCTCTAAAAACCACAAAGCTTCCAATATTGGAAAGAATCTCAGGTTTTTGCTTAGAATTACAAATACTTGAGATATTTCTTTGTTGTGGTTTTGTACAACTGCCAACTGCCTTATACAAAATAAATAAAAAGATTGCATGAAGATGCTTATTATAAACCCAGTTTCAAAAACCTTAGGCCTTTTGCAATATTTGTGTTCTTTCATCGGTCCATTTGCCTCAGGTATTGTAACTTCAAGCTTGATGTAACATTTTCTATGGATGTGGCTTATAAAGATCAATAAATTAAATGTAGTTTGTAATGCTCCAAAGAATAATGTGTTACTTATAAAAAAAAATTTTATCACAAATCTAGTGCTTTTCTGGTATGTTCAAAGAGAAGGAATCCTAAAGCATTAAATTAAAAATATTAAAATCTGTGTATTTTAACTTTTAATGGATAACGTTAATCTAGATTATCATGATAATGCTTGAAGAAACTACTTCGTGGCACAGTATACTCCTCACTTTAGCACTTTATAAATGAACGAGCCTGTATATTTATGAATAAAAAAAGATGGATAGCATGTTCAGTTCTCCCACACCATAAAGAAGATTCTCATTTTCATTTTTATCATCACTCTTTATGACAAATAATGCTGATCCTGCCGATTGTACTTGTGCTATATACACTGGAAATTAAGGTGAGCTTACATGCAGACTATTTTTATTTGTGACCCGATCCTGGGAGTTAAAAGACCAATAAAACATAAGCCATCTCTCTTGCTCTAGTTGAAAGGCAAATGGAGAAATTAATGCAGAGAGGATCAGGATCGGAAACTAGGAACTAACAGAGCTGTTTCCTCCTGGCTCTGTCTCCTCCTCCCCACACGCTGATTAAGCATCTCCTATGAATCAAATACTGAGACGATGAAAGAAGACGACAATCATGTTCCACAGAATCCTTTATTCGTTTTGGGAACTGAAATCAGACTGTAGTTTTAAAAATTCTTCCAACTGCACGTAGCTCAGGCAGTTAAATAAGTAATCATGACATTTGGTTGTAACAGACCTGCGGACATTTCTCCCTGCACTTTAACATCTAGGGTAAAACCGTTATAAGGGATGAACACCCACTTATGCAGTCACATAGTAAATAAAGATTAGAAGATTGGCATTTTTTTGTTGTTGTTGTTATAATCCACCTCCTCCCCTCTCCACTCCATGTTCCACTTTACCGCAAGAGTGAAACAAAACAAAACAACAACAACAACAAAACTAGTTTTACGGGGTGAACGGGGGCGAGGGATGTAAGAAAGGAAGAGAAGGAGGGAGCAGGGAGGACCATACAGATAAGCGGAAGCAGGGAATCAAATGCAGAGCTGCTGTCTTTTTCCCATTTGTCAGGAGGTACCCGGCCCCCTGCTCCCGGCTGCCAGCCAGCCAAAGTAGCTTCTCCTCCCGGCTGCGCCCCCTAGCGGCGGCGCGCGGCGGCGTGCGGCGGGCGCTTATCTCTTTAAGTGACAGCTGTGGCTCGGGTCCCGGTCCCGGCCTGACGTCAGCGCCGCCTCCCTGGCGGGGAGAGGAGTAGTGAGCGCTGCGCTCCGCGCTCCTCGGCACTCGCGGCTCGCTCTGCCAGCCGCCCGGGCGGCGAGTTCTCTCCGCTCCGACCGCTCCGACCCCTCCTCCCGCCCCGCGGGGAGGCGAGCGGCAGCGCCCGAGCCTCTTGCAAGCAAGTCCCTCGCACACTTCCCCGCCGGCGCCCCAAAGGAGCGGCCGCTGCTCCCCGCGCCTCCACCGCCACCGCTGAGCTCCTCTCCTGCGCTGCGCTCCCCCGATGGAGCCCGAGCGCCGCGCCCGCCGCCCCGAGCCCTGAACCGGGCCGCCCCGGCCGGAGGAGGAACGTGCGGTGCGGTCCGGCCCGAGGGCGCACCCAGCGCGCGCGCCGAGGCCGGGAGACCCCTCCCCACTCTCCGGGGGCGCAGGGCACAGGGTTCGGAAGATCGATAAAGCGCGGCTGTCCCCGATCCCCTCGGTCGGACGCGGGGCCCCCGGACCATGGCTCTGAAGGACACGGGCAGCGCGGGCAGCACCATCCTGCCCATCAGCGAGATGGTCTCCGCGTCCGCGCCGCCCGGGGCATCGGCGGCGGCGGCGGCGGCGGCGGCGACCCCGGGGTCCTGCGCGCCCGCGCCCTCGCCCTTCCCCGAGGTGGTGGAGCTGAACGTGGGCGGCCAGGTGTACGTGACCAAGCACTCGACGCTGCTCAGCGTCCCGGACAGCACGCTGGCCGCGATGTTCTCGCCCTCCGGCCCCCGGGGCGGCGGTGGCGGCGGCGCGCGGCGGCGGGGCGAGCTGCCCAGGGACAGCCGGGCGCGCTTCTTCATCGACCGCGACGGCTTCCTGTTCAGGTACGTGCTGGACTACCTGCGGGACCGGCGGCTGGCGCTGCCCGAGCACTTCCCCGAGAAGGAGCGCCTCCTGCGCGAGGCCGAGTACTTCCAGCTCGCCGACCTGGTGCAGCTGCTGGCGCCCAAGGTCGCCAAGCAGAACTCGCTCAACGACGAGGGCTGCCAGAGCGACCTGGAGGACACGCTGTCGCAGGGCAGCAGCGACGCGCTCCTGCTGCGGGGGGCGGCGGCGGGCGCGCCCTCGGGGCCCGGGGCGCACGGCGGCGCCGGCGCTGGCGGCGGCATTGGCCTTGGCCTTGGCCTTGGTGGCGGCGGCGGGACGGACCGGCGCTCGGGCTTCCTGACGCTCGGCTACCGCGGCTCCTCCACGGCCGTGCGGGACCAGCAGGCGGACGCCCGGTTCCGGCGGGTGGCGCGCATCCTGGTGTGCGGGCGCATCGCGCTGGCCAAGGAGGTCTTCGGGGACACGCTCAACGAGAGCCGCGACCCCGACCGGCCGCCCGACAAGTACACGTCCCGCTTCTACCTCAAGTTCACGCACCTGGAGCAGGCGTTCGACCGGCTGTCCGAGGCCGGCTTCCACATGGTGGCGTGCAACTCCTCCGGCGCCGCCGCCTTCGTGCACCAGTACCGCGACGACAAGGTCTGGAGCAGCTACACCGAGTACATCTTCTTCCGTGAGTCCGCCGCGGGGTCCGCGTGTCCTGTCTCCCCGCTCCTCCCCCCCCAAACAAACAAACAAACAAACAAACAAACAGCAGCAACAACAAAAACGCACGGGGCGTCTCAGAGGGAGCTGGTTAATTCATGAGCGTCAGGGGGGCTCTCCCTGCGCGCCCCCGTCTCTGGCTGAGCGCTTTCTCCCTCCGAGATCCCCACTTTGTCCCAAAGGAGCACCTAGTTCCTACGCAGCCCTCCTTCTTAACTTTAATGATGTTTGTCCCTCTCCTCCACCCCGCACCCCGCACCCCGCACCCCGCAGCCCTGGGCTCCCTTCTCCTGCGGAGGGCGCGGAGGGCGCCTGGGAGACCTGGCTGGGCACAGCGGTTCTCCTTTGTCCCCTCTGCGTCTGCGGGGCTCCTGGGGATCAGTGTGTGGGCGCCTGTGTTTCCTCTCGGGAGGGCAGGGTAGCACAGAGGCGCCGCAGAGCATCCCCGGGAGGGGAGTACCTCCTGTTGGTGCTGGTCTAGGCGCAGGAGCATCCAATTAGGGGAGGTGTCAGGAGGCAACCTGGGAAGTGGTGACTGTGCTCCAGAGCCCCTCGGGGGGCGGGGGAGTGTGCGACTGGTGGGAAAGAGGTCTCCATCGACCCCGAGAAAACTCAGGTTTTTTTTTCTCCCAGCGCCACTTGTCAGCTGTAATTGCTGGGTGTTTGGACAGCGGAAAGCGGGAGGTGGAGGGAACCAAAGAGTGTGCATGTCTGAGCGCTGTTGTCAGGGTTGGAGAGTGCGTGTGCACGTGAGTGTGTGTGTGTGTGTGTGTGTGTGTGTGTGTGTGTGGAGAGAGAGAGAGAGAGAGAGAGAGAGAGAGAGAGAGAGAGAGAGAGAGAGAGAGAGAGAGAGAGAGAGAGAGAGAGATTGAGAGAGAGAGATTGATTTCTGGGCATCTCAAACGCAAAGGGGGTGGGGAGTTTGAGTCCACTTCCCCAGGGGGAGTAAATCCTGGGATATTGTGAAAGGAGGGAATGAGGGAGAGGATTTGGAAAGCATTTGGCATGATGCTTTGTGCAGCGCCCCTTCAGGAGGGGGCCCTGTGGATCAAGTTCAAGAACTCCACCCAATATGACTGGGCCTTGGGGGATGGGGAGGCGGGGCGGCTCAATTCCCAGCGATATTTAGACAGCGAGGAGGGCCGCAGCTAGAGAGCTGTTTGGCGAAATGAAAAGCCAGCTGGGCTGGCAGCAGGGACATCATTTGGCAAACGTGTTTCTTGTAGAGACACAAGAAGCTTTGGAATGTGCCTATACTATTAGGGAGAGCACCATTGGCCCTCTATGATACAAACAAACCAGTTTTAATTGTATTTATTTACTTTGGTAATTTACTCGCTCTTTGGGGATCAGACAATTTTTTGTGCACTTTATTTTGACTGGAGAAAGGGAAAGTCTGCTTGCACAGGAACAAGCTTGATTGGAAGGTGCTCATTGAATATTCTAGTAACTTTTGAGGTAGTGTGATAAAACACAGCAGGTTGTCTTAGAGTTAAATTGTCTTTAACTCTAAGGGTGGATTTTCCAAGAAAACAAAGCATTTCGACAGAGAAGCAAAGAAAGTGTCACTGAAGCGGTGGATAAAAATCTGTCTTAATTTTATCAAAGTGCTATTATAAGTTGCACAGTAAAAAGAGAAAAGCCACCCAAAGGGAAAAGGTCATTTTTTAAATTGAAAACAATATCTTTTCACTATTTATTAAGTAATTAAACTGTTTAGCAGTATTCTTTACATCTTATCCCTTGTTAACATTTGAAGTTTTAAACATTTATCATTTCAACTGGATATATTTTCAAGCATAACAGAAGATGAGATGGAATGAACTTTTGACTCTTGTGGTTAGTGATTTTTGTTAGAGCAGATATGAGCATATGTTCTGCAATTATGTTTCTTGCATTTTGGAATTTTTCTTAGATTTAACTAATAACTTAATTTGAAAGAGGTATTTGGAATTCAGAATATTTCATTCATGGGGCTAGAAGAATTGTTAACAAAATAAATAGTCATATTATGAATAACCTTTTGCAGAGTATTCACATAACTAATGAGCTCTGAGATTCATTCATAGAAATCCAAGAAATCTAAGGAAGCAACCTAAAGCTTTCTTCATTAATTACCCCGTGGGGGAAAATTTCAGATTAAATATTGCTCTTTTGAAGTGTTATTCCAGTCATTGGCCAGCCTAATTTAGTTGTCATTTTAAATTTATTATGTAAAGTTGATATTGAATACTATTATACATACACTTATTTTATGTTTTATATAGTTTGCAGCATATTTTCACAAGTTATTTTGGATGGGATTACTTTTAAAATTGGAAATGAAAATACAGTGTAAAATCTTTGTATTTCCATCTTATTCAGTTTAGGTGATGGTGCAAGTTTATAATTACCTTGTTAGCAGTCTTTACTTAAAATGAATATTAGTGTTACTCATTAAAAACAAAATTATTGGATGAAATTGTTTGTCTACTATATTTCAAATGCAGAAGAAGGCCTTACCTTTTATTTTTCCTTTTGACGCAGTACTTTCAACAAATATTTGTTTAGTGTGTAACATGCAACAGTCATGTTAACACATTTTTAAATTCAGGCTGCATATGAACTAGTTTGAAACTTTGCTAAAACTATAGAATTGTAGTTTATGCATTCAAATGCCAATTTTTGCTCCTATATAAATAGAAAGAGAGATGCCGAAACCGGTTTGGCTCAATGGATAGAGCGTCTTTTATATATTATTAATTTACATACATATGTCTGTCATTAAGAACTTTCTTTTTAAGATCCTTTCCTTTTTATGTGCCCTTCTAAATGATTGATTACTGACATGTACTTCCTGGTGTGTACTTTTCCTAACTAATCTCTACCCCCACTGATGATCCACATTTAGATTTCTTCCACTTGTCATGGCCAAGCCTACTGTGGACCTGTGTGAGAACTTTTTAAATATACATCTAGGAGGGGAATTAGTGGGCCATTGGGGATGCACTTGGTTAAGGACTGTCAGATTGCTCTCCAAATGAGTACACCAGTCTTCACTTCTAAGAATAGCACATGAGAATGTCATTATCTCCACTTCCCTGCCAACTTGTCAAAATTCAGTTTTCTAATTGTTGCAAAAAATAGAAGAAAAGTGATAGTTCATTGTTGTTTTCAGTTTCATCTCTCTAATTACCAATGATGGAAAGGTAATTTTTAGCTCACCCATCTCTGTAGATTAGAAAGATTTTGAGTAAGCAGGTCAAGAGGATCCTCTATGGTGTAATCTTATTTTCCTATTCAAACTTCAACAGCAGCAACAGCATTACAAACACATGCGCCTGCATAAAACGAGATGAAACTACTCTTCATGCAAATGAATGTTTATTATCCTTCTTCTCAAAGGGGACACCCCCAAGTCTCATCGGCCCTGCCTCCATCTGTGGGTGATCTACATACGGTATTATGTATGAGGTATGAAGGTGATTCCTTGTGGAATGGTCTCTTATGAATTAATATTTTCATATATGTCACTTGCCCTCAATGCAGTCAGTAAACAAATCTGACAGGAGCAGGATCAGTGAAAGCATGTGGTCCAAGAGGGGAGAATGGAACCCATACAGCATCACAGGTCTTGCAGCAAATTCTGCTGTGCAGGCCTGTCGGAGACTCCCTTTCCTGCCAAGAGAATAAGTGCCTACCGGGCAGCACCTGGTTTTGCTGTGAAGCACAACTCCTTTGCCTGTTGTCCTCCATGGTCCTTTCCTTTGCCTTCTGGGAGATTCTTACCTGTCAGCTGCCTTCCCTGACCATGCCTGAGGCAGGCATTGGGACGGGACACCCTCTTCCCAACTGCAGATTCCGAACTCACTTCCTGCCAGTGTTGGCTCAGCACCTGCAGGTGGCTTGAAGGATTAAATAGCTTATGCTACTGATGGCCAGTTTTGCAGTTTCTGGCAAAATTGTAGTGGACTTTTGGTCAGTTTCCTGAGTGAATTAAGAGCAAAAATATCTCCTCCTAATGTAATTTTTATACCTGAAAGCTATTTTGTGGCCTCTCTGAGTCACTCATTTCCCCTCTGAAATGAAAGGTTTAAGAGTGTGGTGCCAGCTTTGTCAGTGGGGCGGTCTGCTGTGTGAAAGAGTTGGACCTCCTGCTAAGGCTGCACTTTTGTGGTTATATTTAATTACTGCTGTTTTTTTTTTTTAACTTATATTTTTGTATTGTGAACATTTTAAACATCATGGAAAAAAACATACAACAATTTTCCAAAAATACTCTCATATATTCATCTCCTAGATTCAACAGTAATAAAAATATAAATGCATCTCTGATGTTATTATTTTTTTTTTGCTAAAGCATTTTAAAGCAACTCCAAAATATTATGTTGTTTCAAATCTATGTACCTTGTTATAAACAAAGAATGGATATTTTTTTTTATAAATATCAACACTATTCCATTATCAACTTTAATGAGATGCATAATGATTTTGGCAATATCTGATATATAATCCATAATCATGTTTCTTAGATTGCCTCAAAAGTATTTCTTATAGTTGTTTCTTTTTAAAAAGTTGGGATTGTACACTTTTTATGTGCCTGTGTCTTAATTAATATAGGACAGCTCCTCCTCTCTCTTTTCCTCTGTCCATCTTTATGTCTATGTCTATGTTATGTCTATCTCTATCTCTATTTATATCTCTACCTCTATCTCTCTGTCTTTGTCTCTGTCGCTGCCTCTCTCTGTCTCTTCACATGTAACACCATCATTTTGTTTCTAGAAACAAAGTCTGTTGTCCTGATGAAAGCCCCATGTTCTGTATGTAGCTGCATGCTTTTTTTGTACCTATATTATCTGTAAGTGAATATTAAATTGAGCATATTTATCTCAGCTTCTCTTACTTTTCTGGGGGCAAGATGATTCATGGTGATTCTGTGTGCTCCATTAATATTTCAACTCACAGGTGAACATTCCACAAGTATCATGT